GCAACAGCAGCAGGCGCAACAATAACATCAACAACAACACCAACAATAACAGGATCTCAAAGTAATGGCAATAAAATGCGTGCAATATTTAACAATGCAAACACGATTCAGCATGAAAATGGAGTGACAACAATTTTGCCGGCCTCCTCGCTGGCGGCCACAAACCAAACGGCAGCCATGAATGCCATTGCGCCTAGCACGGTGACCATAACGCCAGCCAAGAAACCAAATGCAACAGCAGCAGCAGCAGCAGCTGCTGCGGTGGTCAATCCCAAGTTCATATTGTTGAAGCCAGCAATTGGCAAATTCGGCAGCAACAACAATCAGGTGAATCCGCCGGCAGCTGAGATCAAAATAACTTAGATCGATCACATTTTCGGGGCAGGCCGCACACTAACACACAATTTGATGCATTTGAAAAGTGAATGGGCTTAAGACAAGTTTCTGAGAGACTAAAATGCATAGAAATTGATAGAATAAGACACACAGTTGCCACTAGCTATAATGTACCGCTGCAAAGGGCAACAAAAAGGCTGCCATTATGTTAAATTTATACAAAAAAAATATAAAAAAAATTAACAAATAAAAGCAAAAACCAATTACATAGCCATGTTAACTGGCTGTTAAAAACAAACCTTGTTGATTTACATGCATATTGTAGCGAGTATTTACTGTAAGTGGAAAACAAAAACTGGCGCAAAATGTTGTATATATATAGAGAGATATATAGATATAAGATACAAACAACAACTCGTTTCATACAACAATATACTTTAATTTGCTTTATGTTAGCACTTACATTTAATCATCTTTTTTTTTGTATTTTAAATATATTGAACAATTACTTTGTAAGTTCTTTTACTCACGAGCAGCAGCAGCAGCACATATATATATATAAATAACCGAAACATTTACCTTAATATTTACTTTTACATAGCATTTACATTTAGTTTATGTACATCATGTATACATTTTGTGTAGTTTTACATGCACTTGGTTGCGCTCTCTTCTTGCATTAAGTTTAACAGTTTCTTTAGCCATCTCGTTCGCTCGCTCGCTAGCTCTGCTCAACTTAACAGCGTGCTGTTAAGCGAGCGGCCGCTATGTTAAGCCCGTTTCAACTGTTCAAAGTTTATGAAGTAAGAAATATAAATATAATGCCCTCTCTTAAGTACTTGAAAGTACACTCAACTTATTAAGCAATACAAATAAATATAACAAATTAAAATTAATTGAAATCAACCACATGCCACATGCTGTAAACGCATGCCACAAATTGTAGCCTTAGAAAATGCGCCTAGAAAACAAAAAACAAAAAAGAAAAACATTTATTGCAACGTTTTGTGTTGAGATGCTCTATGTGAGAGAAGCAATGTTTTTTAAAGGAAAAATTAAAGTTAAATAAACATATAAGCGGCATAGATCGAATAATAAAAGTGTTTGCTTTATTGGCTTGGAAAGCTAAGGGAAGCTGTGGGAAATGTTTGTAACAATATGTAAATTATTAAATTAAATAAGAATATAAAAAGAAAAAAAAATTGGCATTGCCGAAACCCGGGATTGAACCGGGGACCTTTAGATCTTCAGTCTAACGCTCTCCCAACTGAGCTATTTCGGCGCTGAGAACTCCGGCCGCCAAACGCAACGACTTGCTTAGTGAGTCATGAGGTGGGATACCTACCTGACAGTGCAGAGTAGTTCAATGACGTATGTAGCTAATTAAAAATGTGTGTAAGGGAGAGAGAGGAGCGGCAACAACAAAATCCGTTTGATGAACTGTGAAATAAAGTGAACCCATTTCTGCGGTTTTTTTGCAGTTTGTTATAAAAAAATTTTGTTGGCTTAATTTTTTTATTGCTGTTACGCTTTAGTCATTTATTAGCGCATTTGGGGGCTACGCCCGTTAAAAATTCCTTCGGCTAATTGAATTGTTATTAAGGTGAAGCGGAAAGGATTGGAGACCGAAATGTTCCATGCTCAATCGATATAACCATTGAGCCAAACGAGTTCAACTGATGGACCAGCCTCCTCTTACTTGGCAGCGACCCTCGACAAGGAAACGATAATTGGCGAGCTCTTCACGGATCGTCAAATATATGTATATATGTATATCTCGAATATTATCATGGAATCGTTGGCCAGAGATAATACGTGAATGTATATATGTATACATTTATATTTACGTATATATTTGGGTAATTATATACATGCTTTTTCACATTCATGATTCATGCCTAAATGCAGGTGTTTAAAGCGCTCAACTTAATGCAGCTGAGATAGACTTACAGTGAGAAACAGAGATATGGAGAGACAAAGATGGAGATAACAGCTGATTTAGTGTGTCAAATAGCTCGCTAAAGAGGATAGAAGAGAAATAGATAAAACCTTTTAGGTGATTTTAATAAAAAAACTAATAAATTCTAAAACATATGTATGTGTACTATTTATAATAATGTAAATATATGAAGTATATCATATATAACTTATCGCCTATACTAAAAACCTATTCAATCTATCGATAAGGTACATATATAGTCAATCTGTGATCTTCCTAAGTTTCATTCTTCCGTATTCTTTCATCTATCTACCATATATTATGTTATATCTACCCTCTACGTTTTATTTGCCATCTACCAAATTTAATCTTTTATATTACATATTCCATCTTTGAGCGTACATCTTCTATTTTTCATCTCCATTGCTCCATCTGCCATCTTGTATTACGTCTTTCCTATCTTCCATATATTATCTTTTATCTCTTATCTATCACATTCCATCTCCTATGTATCTCCCCTCTTCAATCTTTCATCCTCATAGCTTCTCTTCATCTCTGAATGGACTGGACTTTGGGTAAGGGTATTCTATATGAAGGTATTGTAGTATAGAAACAGCTTGAGCTTTGCCTTGAAAATCGCTCAACCAAAACTTACAACCAAAAGCCACCCACAGCGTCAACGCCCCACCTAGAACCAAACTGGTTCCGTTCTTGACGTCACGTAGCGCAACTAAAGCTACAAATATATATGTACATAAATATGCTATAAGAATATACAAATCAAATTAGCTTAAGATCTGCTCAAGAAAAGCACTCAAAAACCTTCCAACACCTGCACAAAAAATAGACAATAATAAAAAGAAGTTGAAAAAAAAACTTGGATTCGTCCATTCGGAACCAGTTTTCTGTCTTTTGTCGGCGATCTTGAGAGTTTTGTCTGAGTCAGACTCGGAGTCGGAGTAGGAGTTGAAGTCAGGGGCTAACAGTGCTGCAATTTAAAGTACATTCCTTCCACCTCTAAAAAGAATAGGAAGAAGCAAAACAACAAAATTATCTGTCAGAGAGCAGTAAAAAAAACTGGATTTGATTTGCCCTTGCGTTGGGTTACCATTACCAGGACCTGTGCGCTACAGCAGCTAGAGTCCATTGGACTCTAGGCGAACTAGTTTTTTCCATTTTACTCATTTGGCTAAATTTTATATAATATTAGTTTTTTTTTTTTTTTTATGTGTATATAAATAAATTGTAAAATAGAATTGGGAAAAAATATTGCTGCCTGCCGAAACCCGGGATTGAACCGGGGACCTTTAGATCTTCAGTCTAACGCTCTCCCAACTGAGCTATTTCGGCGATATGGCTTGCGACGATTTAAGCGTTTTGCAAGTGAGCTAAGCTCTCTCTCTCTCTCTCTCTCTCTCTCTCTCTCTCTCTCTTTTTCAAGTGCAGTCCTTAGAGCATACACCAAAATTTTTAAGCAAATATACACAACATACACATGTGCACATATACACAACTCTTCACACACACACACACACACGTGTAGAAATAGTGATGCTCACTGCTTAGAACCATAAACTATCCTACAAGGGTATTTGCAATTCTTCGCATTGCCTTTGGCTGCTTCCTTTTACGTTTTCTACTTCTCCGCATGCCGCTTGTTATTTTTAACGACTTCTGCGAAAGTCGAGCAATGGATTAACTGTGCAGGAAGGGGGTGGGGATGGGCGTGTTAGCACGATCAACAACTGCATATACGGAAACCTCAAAAATCACAGCAACATCATAATAATGAGCATCATGATGTCGATGCTGCTGATGATGATGATTCAGCCGAAGTTGTTGTTGTTGTTGTTGTTGATCTGAAGCTAAGATGGGGGAATTACGACGAGCAGGTGACGACAATGGCGCGTGGTTTTTACACAGTCTACGAAATTGAACTGGTTTTTGCATTTTTCCCTTTTTTGAATTGTTGTTGCATTTTTGATTTGTTTTGTTTTTTTAATAAATTTGCAATTTGTTTGCGTTATGAGCAGTTGACAAACAGCTAACAAAATGTAGTCCAAAAAAAAAGAACAAATTGAGCCGAAATATAAAATATTTTCGTATTCATTTCGCCTGAGAATTAATGCTTGCGATTTGCACAATTTTGTTGTTGGGTGTTGTTTTTGCTTATCTTTGCGATCTCTCGGCTATTAAGAGAAATATTGTTATTGATCCTAACACGAGCCTTGGTTTCGGCCACCTGCACGTATTTGTCACCAGCACGAACTTATTTTGTGTTCTGTTCGTAATTATTGTATTCACTTATTTTTGTTTTCAGGAGCAGAATTCACGGCGAATCCTTTCTTGCAATTATTTGTTGTGCTTTTCGCTGCATAGCCAGCCTAGCACAAGAAAGTGCGAGAAGAACAACAATAATAGCAACAGGCGAACTAAGAGAGCGGCGCACACAAAAGCACACACGCTCTCTTCGCCGCTCGCTCTTCGCTTTGTTTCGATGTGCTGGCTGCCGCTGTCGCTGCTGCGGCGGCGGCGTTGGCTTGCAAATTTTTAGTTAGCTGTTATCGTTGTTGTTGTTGTTGCTGTTGATGTGGTTTTTTGTATTGTTAGCGAGAGCAACTGCGTCAACGTCGACGCTAGCGTCAAAGTCAACGTCAACATCAACGCTTGGGCTTGGGCGCGATTTTCCTTTTTAAAAACCGATGGCAAACGAAGCCGCGTTTTAGTTCTGTTTGCAAAACCTAGCCAATTGGACGTGGCCAAAGAGCAGGCAGACAGGCAGGCAACAGGCAATAAGAACGCGGCGTACTGTGAATAGTTTCCGTTCTTCATCTTTCGCGTGTTCTGTTTGCTTTACAACTAAAAAACTGTTAGTTGTTTTTTTTTTTTTGCTGTTGTTTTTGTTCGCGTTATCTGCGCTCGCGACATTGAAGAAAATTGTGAAAGAATCTGCAAGAAAATAAAAACATTAATTTCGATTGCGTGTTTTGTTTCAATTGTTTGTGTTTCAATTGAAAATCATTTAAAAACAATTAAAAACATTTTTTTTTGTGTGTCAGTGCCAACAAGAACAACAACAATAAATCAACTAGAGCCATATATAACATGTAAGAATTTATTTATTATGCATAATATGTATGTAAAAAAAAATCCAAGTTTTAAATACATACATATATATATCTGTAATCGCGCTAAAAAACTTGCCGAGAATTGAGGTTAGGCATACATTGAAAAGAAAATAAATAAAAAAAGCTCAGCTAGTGAACCGTTAAAAGCTAATTGAAGATCAAACTGCAGCACATCTGCTTAGCTCGAAATTCAAGTTACGATTCACGAATCGGAGTTGCGAGCTGCACAGATGAGATTCCAATTAGAAAATACATTTACGGCGAATTCAAATTTGTTTATTTTCTCTCTAATTTCAAATTAAGTCTAAAAGTTCATTGAAACAAGCTGTACAGAACTTTATTTTGCAAGTTTTTTTTTTGCTTTTAAATATGGAATTTTTATGATAAAAGAAATATATATACATACATATACACATATGTATATAAAATTTGTGGTCAATATACTTGTTTCCGAATACATATGTATGTATATTACTAGAATAAATAAAAATATGTTAATGAGTCTAAAACTTGTTCTATTTCATATTTATTTATATAGTTTTCGAATTTATTTCGAATGTGGGAAAATTTTTGTTGACAAGACTGGGGCTCTGTGCTAAGGTTGAATAAAACATTAATTTAATCAGAAAAGATTGAAGTCTCTAGCTTCAAATGTGTTCGGACAGCTCAACTCAGCTCGTTGCCCTGATCAAGAACATACTTTATAGGGACTGCCACGCCTCCTTCTGTCTGGTACATACATTTTAATAAAGCCATTTTACCCTGATTTCACATTTACAATGGGTTCAGGCAATGTAATGAAAATTAAGCAAAAGGAAAAAGCGAATTGGAATGAATTAAGATACACAATCTTGTTGGAAGTCCAATTGGAACAACACAGCCTCGATATGAAATAGCACTTAAACGAACAAATAAAAACTAAACGCAATTTGTTCAATTGGCTTTACAACATTTGCAAAGAAGCAACAAAAACAAAAGCAAAATCAAAAGTCAACAAAAAATACTCAACAAAAAAAAAAAAAAAAAACTAATAACGAGAGACAAAGATCGAGAGTCAATCATATGGAAACAAGGCGTTACTAAATAGTTGACAAATTTCAACTAATATTGACAAGCGTCTGCTTATCAGCGGAAGCTGCGAAAAACGAGGAGGAAAAAAACAAAAGCAAACCTTAATAATGAAATAGAAGACTGAAAACTTATTGGAACAACTACGAAGAAGATTGCAGACGGACGTGAACGACTTGATCATACCCGTTCTGGGTTAACAAAATTTATGTTTTTTAATTTGTCATGCCATAAATGGACTTTAACTATGTCAGTCTGGGTATAGAATGATATATAATACAGCATTAGAGGAGTATCTGTGTAAAAAACAGTCAAGATCATCACCCATGTTAACAAACAGCTTACAGATAAACCAATATACTTTCTATAACACCACATGAACGAGTATGCATAAACTTGTCTATAAAAATTTCGATAATTTAACTGTGAATAAACTCAAGTTTATGCTCTTACACCCACACTCACACAGAGCAATTCTATATGGTAACAAGAAAGATGTAATTGAGGTGGGCAACAAAGTTGGCTCGTCACGAATTTATCGATAGCTCAACACGTGGAGATTTTACAACCTCGTTGCATAACTGTGAATGCATTTGATTAACATTGGATTCATAATTTATAATTTTGTAAAACATTGTGTGAAGTGAAAGTCAGGCTTAATTTTTAAATTGCTAATCAGAAGAGTTGAGAATCGTGTGATAATTGATGCATTCGATAACAATAATTGACGGCATCAGTTGATTGATTGACATGAAATGTCTTACATAACAAGACATCGATTTTTATCGACAATTAAAAACTATAAATGCATGCCAATAAATGGAATTATATAGAAATCGAGAACAGCAGATAGTTGTCCAGGTTATCGATAACAGTAACCGTATTAATCGAGTACAAATTACGTTTGGAAGGATAATTCTGATCATGACAAGGATCGATATGAATATCAATATCGATGACATCAAACTTAATCTCTGCAATGATGATTCAGACTAAAATTCAGGTGATATATGTATGTATGTATTTATGTATGTATATATGACAGAGAGGCGTTCTCCATTTAGATGATTGCGATGATTTATTAGAAAGGCAAAGACAATTAGATTAGTAAGATGTAATATCTGGATTATGGGCTCTAATTGAGCTGACAAATTGTTTTGAATAAAAAAAATGACAGCAACTGCATTCCTCACGGCTCAGCTTAGGTCGGCTCGGCTGGGCTCTGTAATTGCGATCGGAGAGATATCAAGTGACATTCAATTAGTCGAACCTTTTACTTTTCCCAGTAGTTAACTATAATGATCCAGCTCATTAGAAAATTGGATGTCTAATTGTTAGCTCGACTCATTCACCAGGTGCTACGATCCGGTTCGGAATTCCTAATTATAATATCTATATAGATATATATGTAAATGTATATGTCTCAATATACATATTTACAATAATATATGGCATTTACCGATAATTTATTGACCCGTTCGTGCAGCTGTTCGACTTGATGCAGTCCATGGGATCTGCATTCTAAGCTTAGTGCTAGATCTAAGCAATCATACTATAATTAAGTGTAATTAATGTCTTTTTTGCTCGCCAATGTGCTCGACTTCTTTGTAAAGAAGTTCATACACTAGTTTCCTTAGCTGCTAATGTGACCTATGCGAACTCAGCCTCTGCTTGATCTCGAGCTATAGAACTTGGATTAGATATAGGTGATTATAATAATAAAGAAAAGAAAGATTTTTATACCAGTATATAGTTGAAGAGGGTATAGTATAATGTTCAGCCTTTAGATTTTAAGTTCAAGGAAACTAACAAAATTGAAAAAGAAAAGAAGTCCTGCCGAAACCCGGGATTGAACCGGGGACCTTTAGATCTTCAGTCTAACGCTCTCCCAACTGAGCTATTTCGGCACCTGCTGTTGAGTACTTGACACATGAAGAGCAATGCAATGGAATGTCATGTGAACATACCTTTGTATATCATATATATGCTTGAGCTATTTATGCTCTGTAGAGTAGAAAAAGTCTCTTAGAATAGACTGCGCTTATCACTAAGCTTTATATATGACGCACATGTGTTAACTATCAAAATTTAGCAAACTGTATTATATATATAAATATATAGAGATATACTTATACTTTTTTCGTAACATTTCTATAGGTAGAGTATTATAAGGTCTGCTAGTATATATACTTACTGTATATTGTTTTAGTATATAGTATATTCTTTTCCATATTTTATTTCCTCATTCAAATTGAGTTTCAAGATCAACTAGGCTCATTAGTTGATCAATTCAAAATGAAATATCAATCGACTCTCAATCGAATTGTAGTTCATGAACTGGATCGTTCTTCGCGGCAATGCTCATTCATAGAGTATTCGGAATTTGGCTTTATGAAAATTCATTAGAGTTCTTGTGTTTTTGTTGCCTGTCGTTCGCCTTGATTTGCATTTGTGGAACATGGGCAGACGTCGTAATTGCCCCGTAATTCGGGTTATACAGATATACGAGAGATCGACTCGATCGACTTGAGATGCGATTAGAACTCAACAAAATATATGAATACATATTCAATGATGGGAATGACTGGCGTTTCTTGCTGCCAATGTATCATCATTATCTATTCCGATCTCCTTCTTTGCCCTCTCTCTCTCTCTCTCTCACTCTGTATTGATTTGCCATTTGGCTGAGTTTTCTGATTCAATTCTTAACTAGAAATTTATGCAAATCTCTAGCATTTAAACAATTAAACGCCCTTTAAATAAAATGTACTTTAGCTAACACATAAAAACCCGTTTAAGTATGTGTGTCTGTGTGTAAGTGTTTCGAATCTAACTAGCATATTGGCGTTGCCACGTGTTCACGACTCATTCACAATTTATGCACATCTGTTGCTCCAGCTGGTTCACTCTAAAGTTAGCTAATCTCCAGATGTACAAGCACAGATCTCTCTTAATATATAATCGCTGAGAGCTATTTATTTAGCGTTTGCATATCATTCAGGAACGTTGACTTTTTACTACTCGTTCAGATAACAGACGAGTTGTTCTAGCCAGCCTGGAAGGTAGAGAGCAGTGCTTCTATCAGTTATGAAAAAGAGAGTGGTCCCTAGCAGAGAGTTTTTAGGAAAGTGATGCTAGGCAGATCTTATGGACCTACCATGAGCATTAAAAGTGCCTTCAGACATTAGAAGCCAATATGCCTCATTTTCTCTGCTTGAACGAGTGTAAACAAGTTGCAGATCTTGCTTAGAACCTGTAGATATCTATAAGGGAAATACAAATGGTGTTTTGTCATCTGTGAAAACTAGTTTTTAGCTATACTATAGCTAAAGGGCTAAGACTGGTTTCCAGCTTAGTGAATTTATTTGAATTTAGATAAGATTAGTTATACTCGAACAATATTCGAATGAGGATCACTAAGAATCAAAGATCCCTTAGGGGTTACTATCCATGGCCACAAGTCTTTCTGCTCTCTTTTTCAGCTAATACAACTTAATAATATATCAATTAATAATGGAATTTAACACCTGTTCAGATAGTGAAATCACTTGTATAGGATATGTAAATGAATAATGCAAATATGGTCAAATGGCCGGGTATCAGGCACCAGATCGAGCTGCGGTTCAAGTACGGACATATGTAGCTAACTGCACGCGGCCATGACACATTTGTTTCTTATTTCTTGACATCGGTGCTTTTTCCGGTTTTTGTTTTTTTCGTTACACAACAGCCGCGCATGTCACCAGCTGTTACTGACCATGCACAATAACTGAGCCGGAGATCAAGTCGCGATCATTTGTTTCTGATCAGATCTGGTCACACCAATGTAGGAATCAGAGATCAGCATGGCGATCATCCCGCGATCATTTTGTTATCTATTCAAAATTAACTACAGATCATCGAGCTGTCAG